TGGCTGAGCAGGACGGGGCTGAGGTGGCTGAGCAGGACGGGGCTGAGGGGGCCGGGGCTGGCGGGCTCCGTGTGACGCTCGGGCGCTGTCGCTGCGGCTCCGCTGCGGGGCTGGGCAGTGACGCCTCCCTGGAACCGCCCCTCCGCTCACTGTCCCAGCGGGTATTTAARTGGCGGGCCCGGGCTGGTTGGGTGTCGGTGAAGCTGCTCCCTCACTGCCTATGTCAGCCGGGCATGGAAGAGAAAACAGAACGAAAGGGATGAGATCCCTCACCCGGCAMCGGTACGGCACACATGACCCGGCTGGGTGAATCTGTTTAATTTGTTGTTAGAGAAATCAGAATAGGGTAATGAGAAATAAATCCACATCTTAATCCTACACCCCTCTCTGCTTGTCGGACTCGGTGTATTCCCGATTTTCTCTCTTCCCCCCAGCAGTGCAGGGAGACGGAGAATGGGGGATCCTGAGATGCTGTCCCTGCCTTTCCTTCCTCAAGGGACGGACTCCTCAGAATTTTCCTTGCGCCAGCGTGGGGTCTCTCCCGCGGGATCCACTGCCTGTCACAAGTCCTGCCAGCAAAACACCTCCAGCGTGGGCTTCCCATGGGCTCACAGCCCCTCGGGCATGCCCGTGTTCCGGAGTGGGGCTCTCCAGGGGCTGCRGGTGCCTCTCTGCAGCTCCGTGCCCTCCGTGGGCTGCAGGGACATAGCTGCCTCATCGTGGGCTGCCCCATGGGCTGCGGGGAAATTCGGCCCCAGCGCCCGAAGCAACTCCTGCCCTCCTTCCCCACTGACGCTGGGCTCTGCGAGGCTGTTTTTCACATATTCTCACTCCTCTTTTCTTTGGCTGCGAATTACTTCTGTGCAATAACTGTTTTTCCTTGTCAATATGTCATCGCAGAGGTGCTACCACTGATGGGTCACTGCAGGGCTCGGGTCTGCCCTGGAGCCGAATGGCTTTGWCTTGRAAACAGGGAAAGYTTCTGGCAGCTTCCCACARAAACYACCCCTGCAGCCTCCCCCACCACCWCAGCCTGGCCCTGCAAACCCAATACRTTAAAATGGTTCTGTATGAATGCACAATGGGTCTCTATGAATTTCTCATATGCAGGTCAGAGAGTTCAAGGGGTTTTGTCTGGTTGAGTTTTGGAGATCTCTGGCAGATTTTTCAGTGGTTGTTCCATGTTTGAAATTATTTCTTTCCCRTTCCTTTTTAGCAGCTAGAAAC